TGCACTCATGGTTTGTCAAACTTATTGATCATGCATGGCAGGTGCATTGCCATATACATGTAAGTATGAAGTACCTAATGAAAATTTTTAAGGTAATGGGGTCATCATATAGCTTTTCCACTAACAAGAATCAAACCATTTAGACCTTCAACCAAATGATCGGATTTTTTTTTTTGCCCATAAATGTATCTGTCATAGGTTCCTGGCAGAAGACCAAGAGATCTATTACAAGAGATGAGCTCTCTATAGAGTATTGATGTATAATGAAATGTCTCCCTAATGTATAGCCTTCCCACAATGTAGGCTGCCTTGCTATTTAAACATTTTTCCAGTAACAGTGTCATCTTTGCATGAAATTCAACAGGAGTTTCTGTATTAAGCACTAGATAAGTTGTCTGTGGCTTAGTGTGTGTGTGTGTGCATGTAGTAATGTGTTTTAATAATGTGCACCATTGATAAATGCGTGCCAATGTTTCTGTGTTTATTATGTGTCTGTAAACATGCATGTCTTCTTATGCCTCACCCCCCTGTTGATGACATCAGGACGCTGCAGTGGGACACAGACCCATCTGTGCTGCAGCTGCAGGCTGATTCTGAGCTCGGGTATGCCTTCCTGTTCTCCTCACAACACATGGAAATATACTGTGTACATAGGACATTTTGGGTTTGTGCACAATCTAACCAAGCTAATGAACACATTTTATCTCTCTTAACCAGGAGGAGGATGCAGAGGCTGGGGGCATCTAAGATCACACAGGTAGACTTCCTTCCCAAAGAGGTGGTCTCTTACAGTAAAGAGACACAGACGCCACTCACCGCCCACTTGTCTGAAGGTGAATATTTTGTGTGTGTGCGTGATTGACTTGACATTCCTTATCATCCATAGTCTTGAGCTAAAACAACCTAATTTAAGGTTCAAACTTGAACCTTGAAAGTAAAGGTCACAAGAGGCAACAGATTGCTTCACATTGCAGTGATTGACGTTGCTGAATTTGATACTCCTTTGGTTAGCTAGTTCACAGCCTGTAAACCTGGAATGATTTAAAAATCTTCCAAAGAGAGAGGGAGAAACAGAGCTGGGTATAGAGAAACTGACAAGTGTTTGCCTGGCAATTATTCAATCTTCAGTTGCAGAACATTGTGCTTTTGACTCCTGGTTATAAGTGGAAACAGGCTGACAGATGAAAGTCACCCAAGATGATTTTTGTTGGATGTTACAAAATCACTGTGTGTTGGTGTGTGATGTATCCACTCAGAAGAATATGTGTGTGTGTGTGTGTCCATGTGCTGTAACATCTAAAGAGATTGTGTTCGGTTTCAAATTTCGATTTTACATGTAGTAGCTGCCCTTGTGGATACTCAAAGAACCTTCATACCTGAAGATTTATAGAAATGATGTAGTTATAAAATGTCCTAATTTGGGCTGGGAAGACATGATACAAAAATGTGTGTTTGTGCATGTGTTTGGGTAGCTGTGCATGTGTTTTAAGCATCTGAGGTTATGTGTGCATACATGTGAAAGTGTATTTGTGCATATTTGCACCTCTCTAAGTGGGTGTGCATATATGCTGAGCTGTAGTTACTAAACACATCCATATGGTCAAAACAGAGGTTAGTCCTGAACTGGATTTGGCATAATGTTTGTAGTTATGAATCAAGACACAGACTTGAGTCTTTTTCAACTGGAAGAGAAAGGCATGGAGATTTGGATAGAAGACAGTTGCAGTTATTCTTCAAGCCTGTGCTCTTATTGCAAATGCAGGTATTTCATATCAGAAATGTCTTTTTTTTCCTCATATACTGTATTAGGGCTGCCCCCTTAAAGTCACTAGTCGAGAGACCTGACAGTCAGCTGAGACTGTCAGCCGGTGTGCATTACAATAGAAGGCAGCCCCAAATGTTTAGCAAATTGCTGTGCAGCACGAGAATAAAAACACAAAATCCACTAGGTCAAGCCACATACAAGTGAGTCTTGTACTTTATTAGAAGTGTTTTCAAACATTGGGTTTTAATATTATAAGAGAAAAGACTGTTGGCATCACAGCGGTTTACTGACTGTTTCTAGGACTAGGAATCTAAAAAACTGTGGTGACAGAAGCTTTGCAGGTAAACTAGCTATAACCATACAAGTGTGCAGCCTACCTTATTATTTTGACAAATCCATATGGCAGCCTATATCATCAATTTAAATATTTAATCATATGCAGCTTTCTTTGATTTATTTATTTTTTTTATGCTCAGAAATATGTTCCTGTCACTCTCTTGTATTTGAATACTAATGTTAATGTGGTCAGAATCATCAGTAAAACACAGTATGTGCCAGGTGATTTTCTGACAGTGCAGACTGTATTTAAAAAAGAGAAAAAAAAAGAATGAATAGTGACACCGAACAGCCGAATCTGAGTCGAAAGACCAAATTTTTTGTCAGGTACAACTACGGTATCTTTGTGAGGACACTTGTTTACATAATGCTTTCCCTAGCCCCATAACCATCACAGCTAAATGCCCAACTTCTAGGCTTATCCTAACCTAAATCTAATTGTAATGTTAATTCTGTAGCCATGTTTTAACCCTCAGATAGCCCTTTGAGGGGTATCAGCAAGTTATCCAAAGTTCCCAAAATCCTCACTCCCCTGGTATATATCTCAAAGCAATCCTAACAGTGTATAGCCATGCAAGAACACATATGCACACATGCACCCTATCATCTTCTCTGTCTTCTTTCTTCTATTTGCCAAGACAGCTAGCAGCCATGTGACTGTGAAAGGGTTGCACTTCCTACTTCCTGTCATTATAATAGATGGTCTGGTGTAGATTCCATTGCCCTCCTGCCCCAGCAACCACCATGCACATACGCACGTCTGTCCTGATCAGCATCCAAACGGTCCGCCTCAGCTCCTCCCATTTCCTTGGCAGGACCCAGGAATAGATAATCTATTCAACAAGTGCGCTGGCACTGACTCGCATACAGTATGTGTGCTAGGAGGCGTAAACATGCATGTGTCTACTATACATACACATAGCAGAATCAAAGTAAGGTTTTTGATAGAGCTTATTCACACAAGGATGCTATTTTCAAGGTGTCCGGTGTACCTACTATACATGGATCTCCAAAACAGCATACACACACACACACAAACAAACAAATACACAACAGCTGTAAACTGTACAGGGCAATTGGTAAAGAGATAAAGACTAACAATTAGAGCCAAATAAATAAACATGCAGTAGTTACTAGATACAGTTCTAATAGTCTGTCTACATATACGCTGTGAGCAGTTAGTGCCTGAAAGTAGTGCTGTATGTCGGGCCATTTATTTGTTTTTAGTTTCCAACAACATGTTCAGAGGGTCCCTGTGTGTGTGCTTGTATGTGAGTAAGAACATCTGTGAGCCAGAGCAGAGCTGTGGTCGCCTACAGGGAGCTGACCTTGGCCTTAGGACACCCGTCCTTTGCAGACTGCCATAAAGCTTGTGTGTCTGGAGAAAGAAGAAAAGAGGTTGATGGTAGCACCTGCCTGCACTTCTGGCTGTGTTTGTTCAGGCTAGTTCCCTTTGCTGATTACTCAGCCCCACATGCATGCAACACACATCTCATTTTCAGGTTGCAGCTACAGGTTGTGTACATAATTAGTTAGGCTATGGCTTAAAATTTTAATTGAATCTTCAAGTTTCAGTACCTACATTAGTTATTTATAACAGTTAAAAGAGCTAGATGCTATAGCTTAGTGGATTCGTTAAGGGTCCTGAAATGATTCATGTTGAATAAAATGCTAATGAACCCAACCACATCTGGCTGCACTCAAAAGTAAATCTGTTTGAGCTTCATATGCGTGTGCCTCTGTAGGCTGTCTGTGTGTGTGCACTGTATTTAGCAAACTTGAAGCTCATAGTGGCTCTTATACAACTGCATAGGCAGATGCTAAGTGTTGTTGTCAGAAGGCTCTAATGATTGGATGAGGTTTTTTCTTATTTCCTCCATTTATTTATTTATTTTAGTATTTAGATTTGTTTAGCTTTTTTAAAATTCTGTCTTTTTTGTTTTCTCTGCACCTCAGAGGTGTATAAAGCTCTATGGAAAGACCTTTAGTTGTTTGGATGTGTACATGTTTGTAAAACTCTCGGTGTGTGTTAAATAGTTTGTTTTAAGGATAATGTTCTTTTTTTTCAGGCAGCAGACTGATTCAGGCTGGATTGCAGCTGGTGTTGGCTTCTGGCCTATCAGATTGAAAAGAGAAAACAACAAGAGTTAGTGAAAAATGGCAGGGTAATCTTTATATAAAATGTCATATTCCCATGGCAACAAATGTCTACACTAATTATTGTCACAATTCTCAAAATGTCACAGCTGGCCAGCTGATGCTTTTCATTTTGCAGTTACCATTGTCTCTATTGGATATTATTAGGGCCTGAATTTAATAGATGATACTAAATGTGGGAGACAGTTGCATATTAAAACTGTAATATTGATATCGTAGCCTGTGTGTTTGCGTGTGCGGGAAAGGAAGGATAAGTGTAGTCTCATAACAGTCTTTTTAAGTCATTGAGGGGTAACTCAGGGATTCTCTCATGTCCTCTTCTCCTTACGAACTTCCTTCCCACTTCTCACATGCGCAGGGTGGCTGGCTGTGTTTGTGTGTGCTGTGAGTAAGCTCCGTAGGGTAGAGTGTGTTCAAACCTGAATGCAGCGTTATCAAATTGGATTGATTTCATCAGACTTTGTCTCTTTGTGAATGTGCATGTCCTTTTGCATAAATATACAGTTAAAGCTCATTTAATCCAGATAACGATATAGCTTTTCATTTCCGTGGCCAATTTGCCTCCATATAATTGTAATATGTAGCTTGTCTACGTATGTTCCTTTTCCAATTGGCTGTTTAATGAACTCTCTCTCACAAGTGTCCATGGTTTCAGGCAATCAGATTAGCTCCAGTCATGGCTGACTCCAGCTACTTACTGCGATCCTAATTGGTATGAGTGGACATGCTTGTTGTGGGGGCTGGATACTTTGTCTAAGGACATAGCGGGGAAATAAAATAAGATCAGGCCTAATGTGGTTTGTGATAGTAAGCTAACACACAGAGGTCAAACAAGGTGTGTGGTAGGTGTTTCATGCCTCTCCTCTATCAATTCTTAGATTTATTTTGTTATTTTTGTAAATTTTGTAAATTGTAAACACAACAAAAACCACCCACCTTGTTTTTGTTGTGTTTACCTGTTGCAGCCTTTAAGAGAGACACAGAAGACTGAAGTATTATGGCTCCTGAGAGTTTACAGTTTGATTTGTAGTATAATTTTGATATGAAACAGAGACGCTACTGTAAATACCTCTCATTTAAAGCTGCGCTCTATGTGTTGACTCCCCACTGATTCACCAGTTCTCTAGTATTTGAGCATAACTCAGCTCACTATTTTGGTTTTACAGCCTACAACTTCAGAGTTTTGGTTCACTCACACCAGTCTTAGGTTATTGGCATTGCTTCAGTGAAGCTCTGATAATGCTACAGTGCTCAACCAACACCAAACAACAGAAGAATCTGGCAGCAATCCAATGAACATAGTCATCCATGTAGCTGCTACAAAGTCAGATACTGCCCGTAAGAGCTGACCAAAACAGAGCTAAAAGTAGAGTGAATATTGGATCTACAGTTGTCAGAATTCTACAAATGCTAGCTATTCTTCGTATCTGTTGCATGTTTAAAAAAACAACTACTTGTCAGTGTGTTCAACAAAACAACGCTATAAGGTGATAATTTCAGTGTTGTGTTTTTATCTTGCCGTGCTGTTCCCAGGAGACAAACATTTATTAATGTAAGTTTAATAAAGATGAAATG